AAATCACAAGGGGAATTGAAAGGGGGAAGGGTGTACTGAGCAACTTAAATAAAGGCCGTGTCTAGAAAACCGAGAATTTTTCTCAAAAGGAAATCCCCAAGGCTCGTACTTTGGGGCCAGTGTACACTAAGTTGTAAAAACTTCTAACAAGCTTCTTATCTGATTTTCAAGTCAATAACCAACAAGCAGAAAAATGACTGTTCGAGACAGGGATTTTAACAACAATCCATGGTTAATAATGATATAAAAGGATCAGGCAGAAATCATAAAAAAGAAGACCCCAAAACTTAAACACTAACCTGGGATCCAAAGTATCCAGCGAGTCGCTGAAATGACAGGTACATTTCAGTGCCCCTGGCTTTTCCTGGGGGAGAGGTCCCACAGGTTCAAGTCTGACTTTTAAAACAGTTACGAGCCACCAGCACTCAGCCTACACTTCTTAAGTGCGTCATTATATTTCAACACCGAAATAACTGATGTGCATAAAAAAGCTGGCAATGAGTCATCAAGAAAAATCTTAAATCATGGTTAGAGTACTTTGGGCTAAACAAAAGCAAACCAGGCAGCTCACACTCCAACCCCTTGTTAACCTTGCCAATTCCTGCTCCTTGCTCTGGAGGAGGAAGGAGTAAAGGAAACAAATGCTTGTTTCAGTCTCCGGTTTGTGCCTCCAGCGCTGAAAGCTTCCCTGGAAATAAGTGCTTAAAAGTGTCTTAGAAGCCGTTGTGGCCGAGACCGGTGTGGCTCAGTGGATAGAGCGTCGGCTTGGGGACTGAAAGGTCCCGGGTTCGATTCCGGTCAAGGGCATGTACCTTGGTTGCGGGCACATCCCCAGTGGGGGGTGTGCAAGAGGCAGCTGGTTGATGACTCTCTCGTCGATGTTTCTAACTCTCTATCTCTCTCCCTTCCTCTCTGTACAAAATCAATAAAATATATATATATTTTTTAAAAAGAAGCCGTTGTGAAGTTTCAAATTAATAGTCTCATATGCAGACATTCATTGATCAAGATTAAAAATATGTTAATGCCAGTTGGGAATGCTTTCAAAACGACAGAAAAATATGGTTTAATTCTTTCAAGAAATCAGTCCAACAGAAGCTACGTTTTTAAAAATGAACTATTCCAAATCTCCTCAATCACCTTAGTATGTCTTCACCTTAAAAGCCAAAGTCAGTGGTTAAATGCTGGACTGGCTGTAGCGTAACCAAAGATTTGGTCCCTGAACATTTGTTAAGTGCACATCATATACCACTGGAAGCACACAATCCCTTCGCCAGCGACCACGCTTTCTACTCCATGTCTGGCCACCTTTATTTTTGGTACTTTCAGGTGAGGAAAGACATCCTTAGTAATCATTCAAGGTCTAGACTAGTTAAGGCTAACAAAACATAGCCAGAGTCAGGATGGGTATCCTCTTAAGAATCCTCTTAAGACTAGATTTTTCTCTCAGTTCCAAGATCCTCCACTATAACTAAACATATAAACAGGCCACTACTTTCACTCAGAGGTAAAAAGGCCCTCTGGGCCACTCCTGTATTTAGTAGGAATGCGGGTAACTGCCACCATCACAGCCCACCAACTGGGAAACCATCAAAATCTATACCCTCACACTCCCAGGCCAACAGTCTGAATAAGGACACAACATACTAAGGACACCACATACTAAGGACACACTGCATACTAGTAAATGGCAATAGATTTTTCAATCAAGTCCCAACTTTCTAAAATATCATGAACTAAAATAATAAACATTAATTATTCAAATTTTAAGTGCATGATCACAAAAAGCACTGCAACATCTTGAAAATGGGGAATGTAGATTGAATACCAGAACTGTCAAGTAAACAGCTTACCGTCTCAGGAATTAAAATACTTTCCCAATTAAAGTTCCTACCAAACTTTTGATACCACGTAAGAAACAACTCTAAGCCCTGTATTTTAACTTTTTTTAAAAAACTAGTATTGTTGACTACAGTGCCGGTGTTCTAACGTATACGCTTGGACAGGAAGGCGAGGGAAGAAGCTTAACACTGATATAATTTAGTGTTTGGACAATCCAGCCAAACTTTTGAATGCCAACCCAAATAAAGAAGCAAGGTGTATTGGCTAAGATGACATATCTTCCTCCGGAACATGTCTATTTTATTAATCTTGTGGGAAAACTGAGTCTGTAAATTCCAATTCTGAAGAACTATTAACTGGGATGGCGTAACAGGTGCCCTTAATACTAAGGAGGGAAGAACTTCACCAACAGGAAGGAGCAGAACTGTCAGACTCATATGCGTGCTTCCTCCTCAGGCATGCAAACCCTACAGACAGAGGATGTCATCAGTGTTTGATGAGGATGTTTGCTGTTCCAGCCAGCTCAGTACTGAAACAGATCCTATTTCCCACAAGTCTGTGGGCAAATTCATCAGGCACGTTTCTTTAGAGCAGTGTTTTTCTAACAGAATCTCCAAATCTAAGACTTCCAATAAATTACAATAAAATGATACTTTGATTTCCAACTTTTTAAAATATCCCATCACGATCAATTTCAAAGGCTTGCCTCCTCCATGTCAGAGGTTCTAGCAAAGACTTTCTGTGGGTGAAAGTCTATGTATGGAGAATAACCAGGCGCAATAAATGAGCCTCGACCAGACGTGTGATAGACAAAGCTGCTGTCGTATTTGGGGGCCAACTGAGGAAATCTAGGTCCCAGTGATGAGATGAAAACTTACCAAGCTAACTGACAGGAAAAAAACAAAACTCCTTACATAACTGTATATACAGTATGATTTCATTTCGATTAAAACATGCACACATATGCATAGACAATTATCTGGAAAGCAATACAATGAAGCTCTGGGTGGTAGAAATACGTGATTATATTTGCTTCTCTGTGTTTTCTAAGTTTCAACAATGTATGTGTAACACCGCTTCTGTAATAATACTTCAAGCCACCAAGGGCTCATTCAAGTCAAAAATCAGTATTTATGATGTGCCTACTATAGGTGAGACACACAGAGATCTGCTTTTATTCTCACCAAGGCCTCCAAGTTTTTTCAGTTAATCCTTCTCCCCAAGCCTCTGGGCTAAGCAACAGTCGTTTTTAAAATGTAACATTTCCTTAAACTCCAAAGAGGTTTTTTTTTTCCTCTCTGTTCTCTCTCAGGCACACTAATAATTTTTCACCGTTTTCCCTTTATAGCTACTCTTTCAATCCTGGCAACCGACATAAAAGCTAAAACACTCTTCTGTAGGCTGAACGCCTGTGACAGAGGAGGAACTGATACAGTGGGGGGAGGATCTTTCTCTCCAGCTTATTCAAAGTTAAACATGTCTGTGGCAACTTTACTTACTAGAAAGCAGTGTATGATCTATGATCTTAAGATGGCATCAAGGTCAAGTTCTACTGCATGTCAGGCAACACCCTTTATGTCTGACTAGTGAAAGATGAAGATAGATATGGGGAAACCTAGCAAATAACCTGAAAACTGTAATTGTTCTAGATGTGGAAATGGAAGTGCTGGAATCACACACAAAATATATTTGTGTATAAAAAAAATACACAAGTTTAAGGAAGAAAGCACAAGGCCAAACAACCGGAAAGTCGTCTTATTTAAAAGTGGCATTACATGAGCCTGAAATACTTGGGACAAAACAATTCTGGGTTGCAGTTATTTGCTAGAAAGTGTCACCTACCAGAATATCCCAAGCTTCTCTCCAGTCCGTGCTGCTGCCCTTTGCAATAAGTTATCCCACCAAAAGTGTTAACTATGGTTACATTTGAAGGCTTCCTTTCTCCACTTAGACACGATTTAAATATCAATCAGTGGTAATTTGATGAAAATGCTATGATAACCTCTAACCACTGGTGATCACTACCTACATCAGCTTTCAGGGAAATAATTTTCTCTGAATCTTAAAACTAGTTCATTTATTAGCCTTGAGCTACAAGGAACTAGAGAGCTATCCTTTCACAGCGGGTTTTCTAAAATATATATATTAAAAAAAAATAGATCACATCATAAAAACCTTGGGGAAAGAAGCCCCCAAGCATCCCCATGAATGGAAACCTCAGACTATCTGCCACTTTCCTGAAAATGTAGCTGTCTTAAGTCCTTCAACTGCAGCTTATCAGTTTACAAAAAGAAATGTTGAATTCCCTCTTGACTGGGGTAAGCGGAAGACCACAGACCCGGGTCCCCGCGGAGCCGCGGTGCAGCGCCCGCCTCTCGGTTACTAGAAAGCCCCGGCTGCTTCTGAACCATCTCCGAGTGAGGACGCCTTCCTAACGGGTTTGGAGGCAGGTTTAAATCGCCCGCTTTTTTGTCTGCTCGCTGCATTCACCGGCCCCGGGGCCACGGCCAGCGCCGTGCGCCTGGGAGGGGCAGCCGCGGGGAGAGCCGGGCGGAGGTCCAGGGGTGGGGATGGGGACCCTGGGGGACGGCGCGATGGCGGGGTGGGCCAGGGGCGACCCGGGACGGGGTGCGGCCGCCGCCCTGCACGGGGTGCTCACCACGCAGCGCCCGCCCGCCCGCCGGGATGCGCGCAGGCCCGCGCACCGCCTCCTCCCGCCCTCCCCCGCCGTCCTCCTCCCGAGGCGACAGGAACCACCGCGGGGGAGACGGGGAGAGTCACTCCCGGCCCCTCCGGGTGCGGGGATGACACCTTCTCCCGGCGCGACCGGGCGCCGCTCTCCCTCCCCGCAGCGCCGCGCCCGCCGCCGCCCTCGCCGTTCGAAAGCGGCCGCCCCCGCCGCCGCCTGCGCCCGCCCCCCGCCGCCGCCGCACCAATCGGCGCGGCCCCGGCGGCCAATCACACCGGCCCCCGCGTCCCGGAGCCACTAGCGCCGCCGCAAACGGCCGCGCGGCCCCCGCCCCGCGCGCGTCCCTCCCGGGCGGCACCTCCGGGCCGGGGCGGGCGCTCGGCGAGCGCGGCGGCGAGCGGCCCCGAGCGGGCTCGGCTCCCGCTCCCGCTCCGCTCCCGCCCCCAGGCAGTCTGGAAACTGTGATCACCTCTGTCACAGGAAGCCATCCGGCGGGGAGGGCGGCGCGGAACCAACAAACACACGCCCGCGGCAGCCGCCGGAACCGGCGCGGGGACAGCGACGCGGGCTGCGGGCCGGTCCCCGGGCGGCGGCGCGGCGGCGGCCCCCGCGGCGCGGGCTTTGTGCGGGGCTCCCGCGGCGCGGGCGCGGCGGGCCGGGCATCCCCGTCCCCGAAGCCCCCCCCCCCACCCCCGACCCCGACCACCGCGACGCCGCTGCTGGGACCGTTAGGTGACGTTCCGGCCGCCGCGGCCGAGGAAGCAGCACCCCGGCCGCCCGCCGCCCCCATGTCCACCCCGAGCCGCCGCCGGAGGCGGGCTCCAAAAGTTGGCCCCCGGGCCGCCCAGCACCTGCCCACGTGCCGCTGCGGAGGCTCGCTCGCGGGTCCCCCGGCCCTCTCCCCCCGCCGCCCCCGGCCGCCAGGTCACCTATTACCGGAGGGAGGGGAGCGAGGCTGCTATTTAAACGCCCGCGGAAGTTGAGGCACCCCCACCGGCGGGTGCGGTGCACCTGCCTCCCGCCGCCGCCGCGCTCCGCCACTTTGAGCAGCAGCAGCCGGGTCCCCGGCCCCGCCTCCTGCCCGCAGGGGGGGGGGTGAGGTGGGGGAGGCGGGGGAGCGGGAAGGAGGTGGAAGGGATCGAATTTCTCCAGCAAATGGGACCGTTCCGACAGGATTCGGTTCCCCGGTCAACATTCCACATTCCATCCCTCTCCCGAATTTTGCAAGCCAGCGCCAACAACCCGGAAAGCCTGCCTGCTGGCTGCCGAACAACAGCCCCCCAACTCACACACACACACACACACACACACACACACACACACAGGCACGGGACACGTGCACCGAAGGGCTTTGCAACTTGCAGTCCCAGGGTACACACACTGCACGTTCATTTAAGGCAGCGAGTACTCAGCGACCCCACCCCCACAATTTGCAGATGGTGCCAAAGGTTGCAATTTGCAATCCCGTTGTAAGTTCACGGTTAATCGGTACTTTGCTTTCTCCGCCAATGCAACTCCTTCCTAATTTCACCGAGGAAGGGGTTTTTACACGTTAACAGGCAGTCTCGCTGTAAAGTAAAAAGGTCTGATCGCTGGAAACCCGATTTGGAAGGATCTAATTGCCAAGCTGTCCCTCCACCCCCCTGCTCACTGCCCTTGACTTGATGCAATGAATATTTTGGACATGTGGTGACGCGGTGACAAGAGCCGGGGCTGTGGCCACCCTACACAATGTACCTCCTCACACACACACTCACACACACACACACACACACACACACACCTATATTTAGACAAACATAGTCGTCCCCCTTCCTCCCCGGTCACACACACCCTGGATTCATGTATGTATGCGAACCTGCGTTCTGCCATTGCCATCTGTCTACCAAGTTGCTACTATGCTTTCCACTTTCATGCAGCCCTAATGCACTTTGGGGCCAACTATACTCGGCTTCTTGCTCCTGAAACGCGTTTCATTGATGCTTCCCCTGAAAAACCGCGTGTTCTTCACACATTCCAAAAGGAGGGGGAAAGGCTCTAAGTCTTCGCCCCCCCCCAAAAAAAATTGAAAAATAATAATAATAATCATAGTCAAACTTACTGATCCAACATAAATCAATTCTCAGGCTCCAAAAACCATCTCCTCCTCCTCCTCTCCTCCTCCTTTTCCCCCTCCTCCCCCTCCTCCCCCTCCTCCTCCCTCCCCTGCCCCGGCCCCCGCCCCGGCAATGCCCAAGTTGCTGGTGGGATAGTAAGGCTGCGCTCGCCGGCTGCCCGCCCGCCCTCCCTCCCTCCTCGCTACGTATCGAGAACCCAATCTTTTGGCGCCATATTAATGACGTACTATATTATTTCCACTAGGCAGCGACCTTCGGCATTCAATTACTCCCGAGAACTCCCGAGCGAAGCAACAAAACCATCAAATATGGCTGAGCCTCCCGGCTCGTCCTGCAGCCGCCGCCGCCGCCGCCGCGGCCCGGGACGCGCACACGTCCCCACGCGGCCCCGCGGCCACGCGCCCCTCGCCCCCCGGCCGCGCGTACCTGCTGCGGAGGCTCCGCCGGCGCCGGCTCCGCCGCACGAGTTGGGGCCGCGGCGGGAGGGCGCGCGGGCGGGGAGCCGGGCGGGCCCCTGCGTTCGCCGGCGCGCACACACCCGGCGCTCGCGCGGGGAGGCACTCTCGGACGGGCGTTGGGCCGGTTATGGAGGAGGAAGGACTGTGTGAATCGAACTCATTTCTGGGTCACTGCTGCCACAGGGGGGAGCACTCTAATCCCTTGCCAAAACGAGAGGGTGGGGACAGGGGGCCGGGGGGAGGGAGCGCGGGGAGCCCGCGGCGGCGCGGGGGGCTCCGCGTCCCCGGTTAACTCTTCGCGGGCCTGCCGACCTGCGTCCGCGGGGCGGGCCCTGCGCGGCCGGGAGCGGCTCCTCCGCCACCCCGCCTGCGAGCCCAGGCATTCTGGAGGTGTCTCCCCGCAGGGAAGTGGATGTTGACTTTGTCCCCTTCTAACTGTCCCAGTCCCGGCTCTTGTCCCAACATCACAGAATCTGGACGTGGATTCTTTCAAATTAATTTAAAAGTGGCTCTTAAGGCACAAAATTTGGGTGAAAGGTTCTATTTTTAGACTCAATGGTAAAATAAATAACTCCTTTGTAGTAACAGTTTCGCATTAGAATGACATGTTTAAATACAGAGGATCCAATGTTGGAGCCGGAACACGTCTTTCCCTAAGTCAGTATCGAACTGATCATTGCAGATGAGCATTCATTCATTAGAACCATGTTATAAATCGACACCGCCTTTCTGTTACACAGCACCACACCCCTGGGCATCGCCTTCCAAATATGAGAATTGAGCCCAAAGCTAAAACTGGAGTTGCGGACTGATACAAAATTAGTCATCAGAGATTCATTTTGGGGATAAAAATGAGTAGTTATCAATTTTCCACCGAATACAGACTTGCTTTTTCATGGGAAGGTTGACATATTTGTTTCATGGACCCCCGCCCTAAAGACATAAGGGTGCATATGATATCCAGCCTCAAAAGGAAAAAGACCTCCGTGGGGATTAAAATTCCCATTCAGTAAATAGGAACACTGATCACTAATTACAAAATTTAGTATCTAACCCAAAGGGCATTGGATGCATACTTCTGAATATATCGGGTTTGACCTCACACAGTCACACACCAACCCATCCGCCCACATGAGGAACCTAAAAACTGATGAACGAGGCAAAACTAATTGAGCCTTTCCATTATTTTTCAGAAAACAAAGAAAGCCAAAGGAAATCTTAAGTGTAGACATAGCCGTTTCATCAACAAGAGTAAATGACACCACATCGGCCCAATTCATGTGCTCACTTAATCCTGTTCAAAGTGATCTCAGATGTGAAGGACTAGGCTACCATTCTTACTATTGTTAGTACTGCATTGCAGTTATTATTTTCACTGGTTCGCCTCACACAAACTCTATTGCAGAAGTGAAGAACACAGGTTCAGAGCCAGACAAACTCTGCATTGGCCTGCCTCTACCTGTTATCAGCGTGTATCTGTTGGGTAAATAACCGTACTCTGAGCCTCAAGAGTAATAAAGTGAGAGTCACAACCCCTACCTGAAGGGTTGTTAAGAGGAATGAGATAAACCCATAAAAGTGCCCAGCAGAGGCCCTGGCAGTAGGAGGTTATCGATTCCCTCAGCCATCTCTCCAGTATCCCTTTCTTGGTCTTCTCTCCATGGAAAATTGCAACTTCTAAATTCCAATTAGACTTACTTCACTCACCCTCCCACTAAAATGTCTAAGTTGCACTCGCCACTGGCTATTTTACATCTCTTTTACTGACTGTCTCCAATCCCAAAATATCAGGCAACAAGATCAAAGAAGTGAATAAAATGGACAAGAAAATTAAAGAAGTAAAACGGCACCCAAACACGCCATGCAGACGGATGCACTGATCAGGACGGATGGTTCCAGAACATCCGTTCAATTATGCCAATTCTTCCGAATGGTTATGGCTGAGGCAGTGTGTCATGCGCTATAAATAACGCTGGACCAGAAGACCCTGGACAAATCTCTTTGCGTCTTAGTTTTTCCATTGAGATGATAGACAAGATCAGAGTTAACTCCTAATTTCTGATTGCTCTTACCTAGCTTAAAAAGTGATTATTTAATGAGTAGAAAACAACTTGAATGGAGAAAGAATATGTAAAACAAAACAAGACAAAACACACACACACACACACACACACACACACACACACACAAAACCTCATTAAATCACAAGCTGCTGACATTTTTAAAATAATAGGTGTCTTTTGCCATCAGACCTCCAAAGAAACTTATTTCTAAAATAGGAAAGGTGTTGACATGGTTTGCCTTCTGGCAGCACAGACAATACATGCTAGAATAAGAGGTACTAAGCTGACAGTTAGGCAAACGAGTTGCTGGTTCCACTCTGTCACTTAGTGTCTTACCTCACCAAATCGCCGAGGATTGCCATTTCCTGATCTCTCAAATGGTTTTGTTAATTCATATTTTATCTTCAGAGATGAAAAGATAGTTAAGGAAATAGCTACTAGGCAGTCAGTTTAGTTGAAATATTAAGATTCGAGTCTTTTCTGATCTGATCAGTATTCTTGGTGATAATTACAATTCTATATGTTCCATGCATTTTGCTGCAGTCATACACAGTTCAATTATTTTCTTCCATATAATGGATTTTTATGGAATAAAAATTTGGATATTCATATTTCTGACTGTGAAACCATTCATAATTACACCTATACATGTTTACTTATTAATATCCTTTGTGTCTACTCTATAGGTAAAGAATTATAAGGTCTTGACAAGAAATTCAGAATTACTTATACTTGAAGTGAAGTAGATTCACATGCTAAAGTACTATCTCATTCCTTTAGAGAAATGAGCAAGAAATTCTTACTGACAAATACCATTGCCAATTGGTATACATTACATTACATAGAGAGA